TCACCAGCTGTAGTTATGAGTTTCCTGTTGTTGTTTACAGTGTTTCATAATCTCACAGGAGGTTAAAAGTACAAATACTAATACTATCTTTGTAATTACACAATGGAGAATGTAAAAAACACGTTACCAGGGTCAGCTCAAATGGGTTCACATGTGCACTGCTGATCTTAACTTTATATTTTTTAACAACCCCTTTTCCTAAAGAATCATTGATTTTCCTGGGGTGTGATTACAAATAAGCACGTGTTCTTATTGCCTCGTTAAATAAATATTGTAGGGGACATTGCGCCGTCTAGTGGAGCAAATTTGCATCAAATGGAAGTACAGCTCGGCCTTGATTCAACTTTAGTTGATATCTCTTTCACAAAGTGCAAACTGGTTTTGGTCATAACATCAGAATGGTTTTTATATTCTATTGAATATTAAAGTCACAGACTTGCAGAAAACATCATTTACTCAAACTGCAAGAATAAAATTAACTGTTAGGGTCATTACCTTACAATATAAATCCATATATGTTAAGGTACCGTATAAATAACATTGAATTAAACTGTCAATAAGTAACTGTTAGGTTAATATTCCTATATGAAAAGGTTCATACATTAATAAGACATAGTTCTCACTTCAGACTCCAGCAAAAATTATTATAGTTAATTATTAAAAGAGGTGATGTTCTCACTTTTGGTCTGGTAGCTACAAAAAGTGTTATTTGCTTATAAATGCGTAATAACACAATTTGATTCAATTTTATTTATACAGCGCCAAATCACAACAACAGTTCCCTCAAGGCACTTTATATTGTAAGGTAGACCCAACAATAATACATACAGAGAAAAACCCAACAATCATATGACCCCCTGTGAGCAGCACTTTGGCGACAGTGGGAAGGAAAAACTCCCTTTTAACAGGAAGAAACCTCTAGCGGGGTCGGGCTCAAGGAGGGGCGGGGCCATCTGCTGGGACTGTTTGGGCTGAGAGAAGGAAGACAGGATAAAGACATGCTGTGGAAGTTAGACAGAGATTAATAATCAGGTGTGTGTTAATGTTAACCACATGAAACCAACAACCAAACAAAAACATAAAGCTTAGTACATTTGAACGACAGCAAAGTGAGTATTTAAGTTTAACTTTATTCACATTATTACTGTTAATAACTGTTTATACAGCTTTATTATCTAATAACTCGTGTTCATTAATTACATGGGGCTAAATTTAAAATGTTCCTCTGTAGTATTACTCGTGTCACGTAAAACATAATAACATAAGTATAGCCTAAACGTAAAAGGCAATAATCCCATATTTTTAAACTCCATAGCAAAGTGTTGGATTATTTGGAGAAAAAAAATCTTCTTGTTACTCATTACATCCGGTCAAGACTGGAAATTTTCTCTTTAGCTTTCTTTTTCTTTTGTCATGTGTAGCACAACACAGTGTAATGTCATCATGGTGATAATAAGCGCTGTGGTTTAATAGCTTTTGATGCAGCATTGTGTGTTTTAGCTCTACTTTAATCACTAATAAAGAGGCGAGGCTGCCGGACACTGGCGCCACCGGGCCCTCTGACCACCACCAGTAGGCAACGGGTGAAGTGTCTTGCCCAAGGACACAACGACCGAGACTGTCCAAGCCGGGGCTCGAACCAGCAACCTTCCAATTACAAGGCAAACTCCCAACTCTTGAGCCACGATGCCATTTGAACTACACTTTAGGGCACTTTGTTCATTTTAAACATCATAGTGAATGGGTTGTAATATTGGTTCGTTTTTTGTTAATAGTAAAACGAGATGGGGGGGGATCTGTTTAATTTAAGCGCACAAAGTACCTTTCATTGTCAGCTGTACTTCCTTAATTTGGACACTAGATGGAGGCAAATATGCATTCCTATTTTCTGTCTCCTTGCACAAATTCCAAAGTAAAGAGCAGAAATCACAAGCACATTAGCTTTTTTGTTTCTTAACTCAGTCCTTTGAATATTACTAGGTTATAATAATTTGTGCAATATTTGATTGATTTATAATTTTGTAAAGACGTTTCAAAGGAGAGCGATAATATGCGTCTTAAATATATGTGCGTTACATTACGCGTAGATTAGATGTGCAGGGGGAAAAAACACGAGGTGCTGGTTTGAGTTTAATGTGAACGTTTACTGTCACCTTCCCGGGAACAGTTGGTTTGAGATTCTGCAAAAATAACGAAGAAGAAGCCAACAAGCATAAGTAGAAGGGATGTAGTCATCAGTTATACACCTGTTCATTCCCTAAGGTGACGAATCTGCTTCGAAACAAATTCATGTCGTCTCAGGCGAGAGATTCGACAGTTTTCCACCAAACTGGAGTCATCCTGGTACCAAAAATATGGCACCAACATTTATTTTAGTTCAGTTTATTATTTACCACATTGCACCACATAACTGCTGGGCCTGAAGGTGAAACTCATGCTCTTACTGACCGCTGGAAGAGCATGAAATTCACCCGTTAGTAGAAGCTGAATCCCAAAGCGTCTGTCCACCATGACCCCCCAGAACTGATCTGAACTTCTGATAGTAACCCTATGTAGTAACCAGTTCTTAAAGTGCACTTGGAGATGCCACCAAAATTGATCATTTAAAAATAATAATAATAATATGAAGGTGGCACAAGAGCAGCACCATAACTCAAGGAACAGAACGATAAATATTTAAGCAGCTGCCTCCTGACTGCTGACTCTTATGTGACTACCAGCGATACTAAAGTGAAAAAAATCACAACTCTGAACATTAGCCTTCGTTTTATAGCACTCATTATTACCCCTAACATTACCCCCATCATTACTCTGTGAAAAGTAATTGGTAAATATCTTTAAAAAAAATGCTTTTTAAAATAATCTGTATTATGAAATGATACTAATGCATACAAA